CCCCCCCCCCCAAACAAATGGGGCTATACTTTAAACTCTCTGGTAAAGTGTAGGTTTGTTTTTTGTCATGTCTGTCAGCAGCCAAAGAGACTAAGTGAATTAGGCTGGAAATTGAACCTAGAGTTCTTGAGTCTCAAGGCACAACTTCATCCATGAGGACCCCACCCCACACACACTTACCCTGTGTACAGTATCATAGAAATACTATGCTGCTGCATCCCATTGCAGCCATAAGGCTGAGGCACAAAGACAATTGCTAAGTCACAGTTTTTATGTACTTGCTACCATCTCTTTCCTGACCTCATCTTCCAAGGTGCTAAGTGCTTTCAGCTTCCATCCCAGCATCCCTCCTGGGTTACAGGCTGAAAAAATTGCAGGTACATCAAATCAGATGTATTTAGGAGTGTCTCTACCCTTTCACCTCACTTGACAGGCCATTTCCTATCAGCTGATGGTACTTTTAATTCTATATCTGGAGTTTGTTCGCTCCCCTCTTACTGTTCCAGCTTTTGCATCCCAGTATCCCAGCCATTCAAAAAGAATAGTTTGAGGTGACATTGATTTGTCTTGCCAGTTCTGTAGGACAGGTGCATAGTGCAATCATCAGTGCTACTCATTCAAAATATGGTCTAGATAAGAATAAATTGATCATAAATAACACCTAATGTACTAGCTATTTTTAAAAGTTCTCTTCATTATAGAAATTTTGAAAATATTCTTAGATATTTAAATATTGAACTTGGCTCCAGAGCATATAATGTGATAAAAGGCACATTTTCCCATACCCTGTCCCATCAGTAGTAGAGGAACAAATAAAATTAAAGCACTGCTAAAAGTTATTTAAAAAAAGAGGTTATCCTTTGTGTCTGGGGTTTGCTTTTGTTGCGTGTCATCTAGTTAATCAGTAGTATGGACAGGCAACCCAAAGGAAATACTTTTTGATTCACACCACATTTTTATAGCGCATTCCTTGTCCAGTCAAGGAGTCTAATTTAATGCCTCTGTAGTTCTTCATTGATATTTCAACTGCAGCTGTTTTCAGTATGGCTGATTCTCAGATTTAGAACTGTGCCTTTCAGCTTCTGAGGCCTGCCTGCCTAGCCGTGGTGGCGGCATTGGTCTTGTTGATCCATCATCTTTAGCCAAATCTTCTTCACTCAGTGTACCAAACCTTGGTCTTGACAACAGAGGTTGCCTGAACCCGCTAGATGTCAGTGCTTGGTTAGCTGCCTCCCTGTGATCTCCTTTTCCATCCCAGTCTCTATCGACTTCATTCCTCCATTCCATTCTAAATTGCTGCTGTGGCTTCCGCTGTTTTTGCTTTGGGTCTCTCATTTTGTTTCCTGGTCTGGGTTTTAAATTGAGCACTGTGGTAGCAGCATCTGTGTCAGAGTCACTGCTGTCACTCACTGTGAACATAAAACAAAATTCAAATTCTCAGGTACAGCATCTCACTGTCTACAGAGTGCTGTCAAGCCAAACAGCAGAGCATTCTACAGCACAAAGCACAAGACACAGAAATGCTTCTCTGTGCCTGCGATGAATGGTTGACCAAACTTTGAAGTGTACAGTCCTTTTGGACTAGAAGCAATAAAGGATTTGGGCAGATTTTAGGAACTACCTGAACAACTGGGATTCAAAAATCCCTGCTCAGCTGTTGTCGATGTCTGGAGATACCTAAATTTACAAAGTATCTCCCCACTTGACTTGAAATTTTCCTAGGCGTCTAAACTTCTTCTCTAGTCACACGTAGAACTGCCCAGTCCAAGTGCCTCAGTGACTCATCTCCCACCTACACCCCAACTTTTTCCCATCTACTCAGTTGGTCTAATAAAAGATATCACATCTACTCAAAGAACCCTGCCTACCTATACCCCAAGGCACTGAACTGTATGGGGAGCCTAAGGACATAACCTGGGGTTTTACCCAGAGGTGAGAGTTTCAAACAAGCAGGGAACATTCCTGCACTTAAATATTGGGTACCTGATTTCAGGATTAGAATTCACAAAATTGAGTCAGGCACCTCTACTTCCCTATGCTTTGGGCAAACTTAGGTGACTAGAACTGAAATCCATACTGCTCAGCACACTGAGCATGGGGGGCAGAAGGAAAGACATCTAAGCCAGTCAGTAAGAAGAAGTAGATATTTGAAACCCTACCTCTCTTCTAGACTTAAGGAGCAGTAAGTTGCCCCCTTGCAGTCCTGACTTAGATGCCTATATGAGACAGATTCACAGCTCGAAAGATCCCTCTTTCATCAACCCCCCTCACAAATATAGGCACCTAAGTAGGCAGTCAAATCATCAATTACAGTATAGGAAGCTGGGTCATTCTTTCCTTTTAGAGGAAGCAGAAGTGGTAGTGGCAACCTTTTATGTATTTGCCTAAAGGACACAGCACTTATTCAGGGAAGCAGGAAGTATGGACTTGGGCTCCATACCACTTGGCCCAAGAGATTTCAGACCAATATTTCATCCTTCTAAGGCTACTAATCATGAGACATGGGCCAAGGCCAAATAAAGGCACCTCTACCTTTGGCTCACTGTGCAGAAAGTTGAGACTCACAGGTTTAATAAGAGCATTTTGGCAACTGCTTCTGTGTTTTGCATTTAAATAGACAATGAAAAAAATGCATAAACAGCATTGGGAACAAGGACCAGAAACCTGGACACTCATTCGTCCCTCAGCTATTGAGCCAGGCCTGTGTCCCAATTTAGGACACCTAAATTCACCTAACCTGAAAGCATCCAAGTCCCTTATTGAATCTAGGCCTTTCCTAGAAATTTGCACAGACAGAGTTTTGCATTTGGTTGCCTGTACATTCTCACAAGCGTGCATGCTATTTTGTTATACATTTCCAAAGAGGTTGGTCTCTCTCCTTTACAAAGGTGGAGGATAGTACATCCATGGGAGTGGTACCCTGTAGTGGGAAAAGTGTTGACTTTGCCACATTTGCTCTCTTTCCTCTTAACGTTGCTCAACTACTCCAGGCTTGTATGCATACATGCTTTACCAGAGAAGAGAGGCCTACAACAAAATTCTCAGTCTAAAGCTCTCCCAAACATTTGTGAATGGGACAGAGTTCACATATTTAAGCAGGACCTGAAGCGTTCAAATGAATTATATCCTTACAATAACCTAAATTAAACACGGATTAAAGTTCTGCATTGTACTCCTGTCTTCAGTTACCATTCTTTTCCTGCAGCCATGTTAAATATCATTCATATTTAAGCTATGCAAAGAAAGGAAGCACTTGTTTTTTCAACTTGAATAAATATGAACCCATTTGAATGAAACAAACAAACAACACTGAAAATATTTTCAGTTCTACAAAGAGTGAAATTATGAAATTTACCCAAAGACTCAGTAATGAAAAAGCTGGGATTCATTCTTAGACTGTGCAGTGGAAAGTTACATAGTTGCACTGCTCCATGACTAGGGACCTACCTAAATCACAGCAAGACAAAGGGTTTTTCGTGGCCCACTCATGGCATACAGAGCCAATTTTGCAGACATTTTGCGGTGACCCTGCCCCCTGGCAGTGACTGGCAGAGAGGCTATGCCCCTCAGCACTGACTGGTGAAGAGGTCCAGTGGGGAGGTGGGACAAGGGGGCAGCCACCACCTGAATAGCTGGCTGCCCTTTGTACCATCCTGTTCCTTGATGCTGATTAGTGGAGAGGACCCAGCAGGGAAGGAGGGACACGGGGACAGCCACCTTGTCTGCTGCCCTTCGTGCCACTGTGCCAGCTGATGCTTTTCCCTCCCAGCGGCAAGGACTACTGGCTCCCACTGGGGAGTCAGCATTTTATTTTTATTAAAGTTTTTTTTTGCGGGGGTGGGTTTTGATTTTGTGGAAATCCTGGATTTCACAGCTTCCTGTCCTCTCCTGACAGGTCCTTTGCATAGCAGATTAATTCATATAGCTCTTATCTTCTCCCCACAACACCCAGGACGTGTCTGCTGCCTCCGCTCTGCTGTCTGACGACTGGCACGGGTGAAGTCTGTGCTACATCCTGACTACTTCCTTGTGAAGGGTTAAGGGAGAAAGGCTGTTCTTTCCAGCACCTAACTTTTTGGGAGGCCCTACATGAGAATGAGTGTATTATTCTCCCTTTGACTAGTAACCTTTGCTAATGTGAGCAATCCTATTGATCTGAATGGAATTAATTGCATGGCTAAAGATCATCTCCCAGGACCGTGGCTGTATCTGCAGAATTTATCCATTCAAATGTGCAATGTAAGTAGCACCATAAAGAAACCTTCATAAAACTTCCCCTTACCTCTAAAAGCTGCTTTCTTTCGTATTCGTAGTCTCTCTGGGAGTTTAGTATTTTTGGGCAGGGATAGATAGCGTGTTGTATTAGCAGCAGCCTGTAAAAACAAATGAAGACGACACGAAGTATTAGTATAATGAACATTAGAGGTTCCAAAGGGATCTGTTTAGAGTAGAGTAAAAAAACCTGGTAACGAGACTGGGATTAACTAACACAATTATATTTTCCATGTGCATGGTTATCTTCATGCCTTTTGCCTCAGTTCTGGTGGTAAAAGTTTATGCTAACTTAGGGAAAACCCAAAATTAACTTTAACCATGAATTCAAAATGAAAAGTACTAACATGCATCCATATTAAAGAAAATATGCCAAAAAAGCCGAAGTTAGCTGTTGCACGTTCACTAACTCCAACCCGACAAATTATTGCATATGTCTTTCTTTCTACACAAGTCACATCTGGAACCGTACTGCTCAGTTACTTAATTTGCTTGAAATTGAAACCTAGCTAAAAAGGGTCAGATCAGAAACAATTCTCTGTCCTGTCCTTGTAAACAGGGTACTTTATAGGGCAGGGGCGGGCAATTATTTCAGCTGAAGGGGTGCTTACTGAGTTTTGGCAAGCCACCAAGGGCTGCTTAACAGGCAGCCAGGGGCAGATAACTATTAATTTTCAAAAATTTTTAGGGGCCCTGTGGGCCAGAGAGAATGGCCTGGCAGGCCCCTGCATCTGGCCCACGGGCTGCATTTTGCCCACCCCTGTTATAGGGTAAAAACAGACATCAGATTTCTCCCAGGTTGGATGTCCTGGGCTTTGACTCGCATCAAAACAGGCTCAGGATAATTGTTTAGACACTCAGCTTGAATGAAAACTACCTCAAACTAGTCCAGATAACACTTTTTCCCTGGGACTATCTTGAGTACTTCACGAGCACTTAAAGTGGGACAATGGGTTTCTACAAATGTAGGATCCCTGGCTTAGTTCTGGGAGAAATCTGATGTCTGTTTTTAGCTTGAATAACTTTATCCAGGTCTGTAATCCTGGGGAGGGATTACTGCTTGAAGATAAGCATATGCTTATTTGCATGAGGCTTAGTTTCCCCTAAGTGCTGAATCACTAAAGTGCACTAGAGCTGAGTAAAGTCAGCACCTCCTGAAGATAGTAAGTGTCCTTCCAGATAGGACACGGTGCACAGTGAAGATACTGAGGATAGACACATGCAGCACTTAGACCAATTTAAACTCCAGTTAAACCTGAAGCAGACAGACATATAAGCCTTTTAAACTGATTTAAAGCCACCTGGAACAGTTCAAAAAGTACCTGGAAAATCAAGTACTATTTTGAACTGGTTGAGTATTACATGTGGATACCAACTGGTCTGAGACATGGGTCTTATCCACCGTCCAAGCATCTCACACTGAATCACTCTTCATCCCTATCCCCTTCCCCCACTCCCCAGACTACCGCGACTGGTCGCTCTGGTACACACCCATAACTCTATTGCACTTTTTTCCCTTCTGTTGGCACTTTCTAATCAATGAGCCCTCTTACACTTGTTCCATAAAAGCTAACAACCTGCTGTGTCCACACTCCCCACTTGCCCGTGGTCCCTCATTATGCTCCACGCCCAGTCTTTGGGAACCTAAAAGTGTACATCCAAGGACTTCCCTCTCCTCTCCAGCCACCCACAGTCAGGCAAGCATGCTGCAGATTTCAGTCAATGGCTGGCAACTGAAGTTTACTGAACTCATGTTTAGGAGATAAGGAACAACAGAAAAGTGAAAATGCCCCCAGCCACAGGTCACCCACCTCCTGAAACTCCCTAAGCATAGGTGCAAGTGCTCCCCTCCCCACCCTCAACTCGCCCACTGCGAGGCATACTGGGCTGGGTGCTCACTCCTACCCCACAGCACTTCACACGCAATCGTGAACTGGTTCCCAATCTGTGATGACTGGGAACAATTCAATTGTCATGTGTCCTCACCTGATGAGAAGTAAATGGGTACTGGGAATTTCCATGCCTCACCTGCTCTACAGTTATTGCTCATACACCATATGCTTGTCACCCCATTGTAACTGTAAACTAACCTGTGGTGGTTTACCCTCTTTCCTTGATAGGCAAGCTATTGCAAGTTATATTTTACTTACTGGAGAGAAATCATGTGCATGTCAGCAGTTAACATGGAACAGCTGATAAATAGTAAAGTTCTGTCAACCCTTACACCTCATTGTAATTTGTCCATGTTTTCATACTCTCTCTTAATTTGTTTATAATTTCTCAAGAATACCTATTGTTTAAGTCTTAAAAGGACACCGAACAAAGTTTAAAGTTTTGAAAAGCCTTTAGATATTTTTCCCCATTTGTTCATCTCACTCATTGTTGCATCTCCATATGACATTTGTAGTAGGGTTGGAATGCTGTTGCAACTGTGACGGTCCAGGACATGTGCGAGAGGTGAGTATTTTGGGGATTTGTTTGTTTTGTTTTTTACAGAATCAATTGTGCAGTTGGAACAGCTGTTTGACAAGCTTTGAGACATCAAGTGCCATTCCTCAGGTCTAACCTTTTAAGTATTGGCAGGTTCAGCAAATGCAGGTGCCAAACAGAATGTTTTAGACCTGAGGAAGAGTACTTGATACCTGAAAACTTGTTCAATAGCCCTCCCAACTATACAGTTGGTCTGATAAAAGATATCACAGAAAAGCCTTGCCTCTCTTACAAAGGACACATGAAACTGAAAACCATTTCCTATTAGTCATTTTTCTTCTCTGGATACTGTGCTGCTGCTCCTGAGCACTGAGTGGGTGGTGAGCTGGTTAAGTATAAGAACAATACTCAAGCACTGTTTAAAGATCAATTACTGCTAAAGCTACAGTTTGTGCATTTCAAAGACCTCACTTACACACTGTTTTTTTAGTTCCACCCTGAAAATTCCTTCATCCTTCAGGCCCTTCTATCAGTCTTGACCAGGAAATCAGTCACTAATACGATGGAAGCAATATGTAAAGATAGCTATAATGACAGAAAGGTCATTCCAAAAGAAGTTACAGTATATGTCTAAGTAGCTTCAATAATGATTAGATGCAATGATTCCTGATTGACCTTGTCATTCTGGTCTCTGCTGTAAAGGACAACTGTAACAATAGGTACTGTAATTACTAAGTACTCTTGGAACACGAAAATAAACACTCAGAGACTAGTTAATTTTTTTGTCTCTGGCAAGACTGAGAGACTGAGTCTGAAGCAGCTATCAGGTAAGTCCTCTGCTGAAAGGACTACATTAGTCCTTTCAACATTAGCCCGAGGTCTGTGCTTACTCTGTAACAAAACTGTCATCATTGGAGACTGAATATTCATAGATTGTAAGGTCAGAAGGGACCTTGAAAGATAAATCGGGTCCAGCCTCCTGCACCAAGCAGGAAAGACAACTGGGGTCAGGTGACCCCAGCAAGGTGACTGTTCAGTCTGCTCTTGAAGATTTCCAGGGTAGGTGATCGCACCACCTCTGGAGGGAGCTTATTCCACAGTCTGGACACCCTGACTGTGAAGAAGTTTTTCCTAATGTTGAACCTGAATCAGTCTTCCAGGAGTCTGTGGCTATTACTCCTGGTTTTCCCCTCGAGTGCCCTGGTGAACAGTTGCTCATTGAGCCCTTGATGTACTCCCCTAGTGTAACGTTAAGCTGCTACCAGGTCCCATCTCAGCCATCTTTTCTTCAGGCTGAAGAGTCCCAGGTCCCTCAGCCTTTCCTCATATGGCTTGCCATGTAAGACTCTAATCATACAGGTGGCTCTTCTCTGGACTCTCTCAAGTTTTTCCCTGTCCTTGTTAAAGTGTGGTGCCCAGAACTGGATGCAGTACTCCAGCTGTGGTCTCACAGTGCTGAGCAGAGAGGAAGAATGACCTCCTTGGTTTGCTGGAGATGCATCGATTGATGCATGCCAGAGTATTATTTGCCTTACTGGCTACAGCATCACACTGCAGGCTCATATTCATACTTTTATTATTATTACCCCCAGGTCCCTTTCATTCATGGTGCTAGTCAGTTTGATGTCGCCAAGCCTGTAGGTGTGTTGGGGGGTTGCTCATCCCAAGGTGGAGCACTTTACATTTCTCGATGTTGACGAATACTGAATATCACGCCATTTATTAATCTTAAACATTGAGGTGGTGCCTTCACATCATGGATATTAAAGAACCTGGGCCACTTTTCAAAGAGGGGGCTTGCCCTGGCATGCTTAGTCAAAAGGTCTCCTCTTCACAATGCTATAGAGAATCCTACAGCTGGATTTTCTACCTCACCATCACTTCCTACCTCAGTATCTATGAAGTTTGCTGGGGATCTTAAAAATTAAAGGTACAATAGAAAGCCCACGTTTTTATCAAACACCCCCTGAAAGAAAGATACTTAGATACAAAGAACTCTTTTTTATGAGCACGCTAAAACACAAGTACCGGTCTCTCCCTAGACAGACTGTAGCTTTTTCTAACGCTCTCCCTCAGGCTGTGCCGGCGACGGATAAGAATTTCTTTCGCCTGTTTTTCACTTGCATCTGCAGCCAGGCTATGTCTGTTATATGACAGCGTCTGAAATACAGAGATGGTGGTTACATATCAAAAAGCACAATGACAAATGTATTGAACATTACAGAGAGCACAACATGCACTATTTGCTTTAATGTTTCAATAGGTATTGAAAACTAAAACATTAAAATGGATTAAAGAGAAACTGAGTGATTATGTCAATGCTTGTTTAGTCACTGGTTCTGCAGGCATTACATTTGGTACCTGGATTTGCTGGACCTATCAAAACATGAAAAAGTGAAACTAAAAAAAAAGTCACTGGAAAAAACTGGCTTAATGCAGTGATTTCACCAGGCTCATCCTAGCTCATTCAGTAGGGATTGCATATTTGAAAATAACAAAATCAGTCACCAAGGGGAATCACTTCCTTCTAGCAGGCTGAAACAAGCACCACTTCTAAACATTTTCCACTAGTGAGAAACAAAAAGATTAAATTTCAATCAAGAACTGTCCAAAAAATAGGCATGACATAAATAGGGAAAAACTGAGTTTGGGATTTACTGAGGTCTATGCCAGTGTAAATCACAGTAATATTTACTGCATATTTAGAGGCATAAGAGCAAGTAAGCAAGTTACAGAAAACAGCCTTAATATATTATTGTGAATATAAAAGAGGAGACTTCTCACAGATATAGGGCAGTTCCATTTGGATGCTTAAATGTTGGGTCCACCTGATCACTGGAAGCTATATGCTGCCTTACACCCACAAAGGATCTAGTCCAATGACATGCATACATATACATTCAACACTCAGAAGGACAGCCTGATACATCCAACTTCAACCTTACCCGCTGGCGTATTTGATAGAGGTTCTTTGTTAAAATGGCCCGCATATTTTCCATTTCAGCAGAGGAAAGCGGCTTTACTTTTACTTTCAATTCCCGGTAGTCACTGTTGCACATTAAAAAACAAAACAAAACAAAAAAAAACAGAAAGATATATCTAATACCTGATGATAAAATCTAAGTATCTTCCTCCTTGAAAATAAAAACAACATTATGTGGGAACAAAAGAAAAAAGGAGAAAAAAGGATGAAGAGCAAAATCAACACACCATTTCAAACAATGCCAACAATTGCAACTCAGTATTCACTGCTTCCAAACACAATACAAGTTGGATTAAACAACACATTTGATTGAGATACTTCTCAAGATATCCCTCAAGTTGTTTTCAGAGGTGCAGACACTGGCTCAGAAATCCACTTAACACTTCCAGTGTTGTAAATGACCTAATAAATCTCTGCAACCTGAGAGCACCCAGGAGATCTGATTTCACTTTCAGGCCAAATACTGTATACAACTTCCTCAGTTTCTCTTAGATGGGGGTTCTGCCTCACTGACCCCATAAACTAGGGCAGGGGGGTGAAGAATTACTCTTTTGATGGCATTTCTTTCAAATTTGCTATGGATAACATTGTAATTTCACATCAATACCATTAGGTTACAAGCATTTATTTAAGAGGAGATTCTTTTTGTGCATAAATTTTCTGATAGATTTCACAGAGCCCAATGCTGAGACTCATTCACACCAGATTTACTTACGTGAGAGAAGCTAAAGATGGGACTGTGCTTATCATCCCACTCTCTGCCATCTCAATGGCATGTTTTATTTCCAGTTTCTTATACAGAGAGACAATGCTAGATTTGGGCTGGTTTTCCCGGATCAGAAGTCTCCGTATATATTTTTTGTCGAACTTTATAAACCTGTAGAGAGACGTAGTTAGCTATGTTAATCTCAAGTCAGGCAGAACTCATTCTAGGGTGGTGCCTTATCAGCTAACTCAGAGACATGAGTTTTCACAGGTTACAACCACTTTGTTAGATGCTGTAAAAACCTGTGAGAGGCAAACCAGCCCTACCAGTTAGTTTACCTTAAATAGTTAAGGAAATGAATTCTGCTTTGGCTGGGGATGAAGATTACTCACCCTAGGTGAATTTCTGGCCTTGCCAATCTTACATATTCATGAATGAGGTAACAAAGGTTGCCTTAACAAAGGTCAAGTTCACCAGTTTCCATTTGAATGGCCTGTACTGACTCATATATTCAGGTGAGTATTTCCTAACAGAGACCTTTCCTTTCAACTACCTTAGGCTATTAACAATTCCTATTTTTAATTATCTGTTTTTATGAGCGCCAAAGGGAACAGTAAACATTTACTGAAACAGTATGCAAACTGCCTTGCCTAGAACTCTGGGCATTTTCTACTCTGAACATTTAGCTTCCTGAAAAACCTCGGTTCCTTTAGAAATGTTCCCCTTAACTGTAAGGGTAGTAATCCTACCTGGGTACTAACTGTAACAATATGGATTAGAGCAGGAGTGTATTTTTCTGCTAAATGTTTTAGTTACAAAAAAGCAGTGTTAGCCTCCCCAACAGGGGTCAAATTGCCCAAATAGTTTCAAAAGGAAAACGTTTTTCAGAACTTGACTTGTTTTCACAGGGGTTCTCTTTTTCGTCAACAACTCAGCATCAAAACATTCACTTGAAATATAGGAAGCTCAAGTTTGGACAGGGGTGTCTAAGATACGGCCTGCAGAGCTACATTATCTGGCCCTTGGTGCCAGCCCCACATGGAGCCAATCTCAGTCCTCCACATTGCTTGCCAGATGCAACACCCACAGTGCCCGCTCTGGCTGGTCCAGGATGTGAGCCACATAGCAGCCATGCCAGGCAGTCTGGGATGAAAACTATGTGCAGTGCAGGTCCTGGACTGGCTGGAGTAAATGCCATATTCAGCACAGTCCCAAAATGGCCAAAGCATTTGGACCCAGGCTGTGAGTGGTCCCCCATATGCTGGATCAAGTGCTTATCTGCTACCCACTCCAGCTAGTCTGGGGCCTGTGCTGCATGCAGCATCCCACAGGTCCAGATGAGTTTGACACTCCTGCTTTATGGCATTTATAAGCACTTCTTCCATGAAGGTGCACTGCTGCCATCCTAGGGAATATTCTGGGTTGGCTTGCTGTCAGGCTCTCCTGTTCATGATGGTCCTCTACAAAGAGGAACATTCAATACATAACCGTTCACTGAGGAAACTGCCACTCAGATTGCCTGCTGTGCAAGTGAAGGTCCTAACCACTAAGCTATGGTCACACTCCTCAACACTTCCTTTCTATGAATCTTTCATTCTTTTCTGAAAAATGAAACAGCCTTCAAACAAAAACAAAAAAACAAGGAAGGGGAGAGAGAAAATGTCCCATCTTCACCTGGAAGATAAGAGACCCAACCTCCAATTCACTCTCTCCCTGTCAGATTCACAGCAGGTATTAAAACCAAGGTTTCCCACCACTCAGGAGAAAATCCAAACCCTACTTGCTTACAGGGTCTGCTGAAAGGGGTCTGCCTCAAGTCTTCCTGATGGAGATGTTCCACATGGTAGATCAGGGGTGACTGGTGCCTCCTGAGTCTGGGGGGGGCACAATTTGTGGGTGGGCCTGGGGGCCCATATCCACTCCTATGCTTGTGCCGCAGCTTAGTGGCCCCCTCAATGACTAAGTGATGACTACTTCTTGATCAAGAAGATCTACCCAGTTATGTATATCCACCAGACAGTACTTTAGTCCGGATTTCCTTAGCTTGTTAATGAGAATGTTGTGGGGGAGAGTGTCAAAACCCTTGCTGAAGTCAAGTTATATTCACTACTCTCCCCCATCCAGATAGCCTACCATTAAAATCTTCCAGGCGCGTCAAGTTTACTAGTTCTGACATCTTCCTGTGAAGATGTTCAAGGACTATGTTAGGTTTCTAGCAAGCAGGAAGCTAATGCTTTGCTTCAGCATTGCTATGTATTCAAGTAGCAAGGCAGGCTGAGGAACCTCTGAGAGAGCCTCATAAGAGATTTAGAGAAAGAGCAGTGCTTAGAATCCCACCTCTGGGGGGCAGAAAGTTGGATTTTTAAACCAGGCTGGAGTATTTGTTGTTTGCTGGTGGTTTTGTAAAACTATTTTCTTTTCACTATTTTTTCTCTCTGTGTAATTTACACATTCCAAACACACTCAGGAGTATGATGGTGCAGAGGAAACATTGCCCAGAAGGCTGCTTGTGTAGCTCCTCCACTCAAACAGCTTAGTTCAGCTTATCCAGTGAGAGTTTTAATTAATACTTACTTATCTCTCCAAAAGTTGTGACCCCAGTGTCCACAGACATCTTCTATTCCAGCCTTCACGTGATCAAAGAACTGAAAGGCAAAAACTGCAGGTTCATTACCAGTTCTTGTAGAGATAGTTTAACATGCTCTTGGAGATGACTATTTAGCTTCAATCACAGGGGTCTTGTTAATACTGAAAACGTTTCTTTAGCTTAAATAAACAGATTTTAAATCAAATCCCTAATGTCACTACAACTTGTTTAGAATTATTTAGTTGATAAGACAGAGTGATCCAGTTCTTAGAGCAGCAGTTCTCAACTTTTTTGATACTGTGACCCAGCTCCAATCTCTGTGGTCTATCTCCAACTGTCGCCCCAAAGCCAAAGTCCAGGCCATCTATCCCCTACCTGCAATCTCCTCCCAACCCAACTAGTCTAGGACTCAAGAAACTAGTGTGTAATTCTCTTCTCCACTACACCTTTTCTTTGAGGCCTTGGAAAAAGGTCACTTGAGAGTCATTGCAATACAAAGAACTTTGGTAGAATGTGCGTCTACATCTAAATCTATGGTCCTGAAAATCCTTGCTCAGTTGCTGTCTAACCTGGGAAGCATCTAAACTGCATAGATGCCTTTAATGTTCTGCAGGTACCCAGAACTTCCCCAGCCTTGACACGGCTGAAGAACTCTAGGCCTACGCCCAATCAGGATCCAGAAATTCCTCAACCCAAGTTCTCAAAAGGACTCACTCCTGTAGGTATTCTCACTGTATGCGTGGCACACAATATAGGGCAGAACCCCTCACAGAATGCAGCTATGGTTACCACCTTCTTTTAAAGAACAGCAGAAGGGAGTGGAAACTTTTTATATAACAAACTACCAGTTTGACCACTTGCAGTGGGAATGGAAGACATCGATTCAATCCCCTCTTCTTCCTGACTTGACTCAAAATTCACAGCTCCTCTCTTCCAAGACAGTAGCCCACCTATAGGTTATTTTGTGGAACGTTCTCTATCACACACGTGGGATCTTATTCCATGCTGCTCAAGTCCCTGAGAATCACTTAACACAAACAAAAATCTATTTCTTAATGTTACCTGCAGCTTTTTGTGACTTACTCTTAAGGCTAAGATGATGGCACTTAAAAAAAGTAGGCACTTGGTACTTTATTTCAGGGACTTGAGCAATGTAGAATAGAACCACATTCTTGCCCTAAGTGTTAGAGCAATTAAGTTTGATTGTTACATCTGGCACTTAAGACTGTGTACCTCATTCCCCTATCTGTAAAACAAGGATTATTATTGCTCTAGGTTAAACCCTTCATTAGCTGAGAGGCAATCTATAAATATATTTTAAAGACTGTGAGGTGCTTAGAAACCACACTTATAGTGGAGGGCATGTAAGTATTCAAGATAGATACATAGGG